TTTCCAGACAGAGCTCTCTGCTCCTCATCATGCTCAATGAGACAGTGGGCTCCTCACATATGGTGCCAACCCTGGAATAGTGCCTGCTCTGACAGGCTGGACAGACTGCGCACCAAGGCAGAGGTCTAAGCAGACCCACCCCACACCATCCCTGACCACCCTTCCTCTTTCTCCCTCTTTCCCTTCTCTTAAAGCCCAGTCCCACCCCCCACCCCCTCAAGCCTGGGGATTCTCCCAGCCCGTTCCGCAAGACGCCCAGTGGTGGGGTCATGGCTGTCCAGCCTGATGGCTTGTGGAGTTTTCTGCTGACCTCATCCTACCACCCCAGGTGGTCCCAAACCGTAGACACAGCCAGGACCAGGAATCGGATTGGGAATGCTGGAGGGAATGGGGGAGCAGGTTTGGACGCTATGGGATGCAGCAGAGGACGTTCCTGGAGCTGGGGCAAATGGCTGTGGCTCCCCCTCCTGGTCGCATCCTGCTTGCTCTCCCAAGGCAGGGCGGCCACTTACAAGATTGCTGTGGTGGGGCCCTGGACTTGTGACCCTCTGTTCGCCACGGCGCTGCCGGACGTGGCCGCCCGGCTGGCCATCGGCCGAATCAACAAGGACCCCTTCCTGAACAAAGGCTACTGGTACGACTACGTCTTGGTGAACGAGGACTGCCAGACCTCGCGGGCCCTGTCCACCTTCATCGGCAGCGAGAGCTACGGCGCCGCCTTCGTCGGGCCCGCCAACCCGGGCTACTGCACGGCGGCCGCCCTCCTGGGCAAGAACTGGAACAAGCCGGTGGCGTCCTGGGCCTGCCTGAACCCCGACCTGCACGATGGGGGCTACCCCACCTTCCTGCGCCCCCTGCCGCTCTCCTCGCAGGTGCTCTTCGCCGTGCTGCGCTACTTCCGCTGGGCGCACGCCGCCATCGTGACCACCGACAGCGACCTGTGGGTGGAGACGGGCCACGAGCTCGCGACCTCGCTGCGCCACCTCGGACTGCCTGTCAGCGTGGTGGTCACCATGGAGACGGAGGGCAACGGCCCGAGCGAGGCCCTGCAGCGCATCAAACGGGCTGACAAAGTAAGAGGTAGGGAGAAATGCCACAGATACCTGTACTGAGACTGATAACCAATAACTGGTACCGATACCAATACCTGGAGTGAGACTGATA